GAAGCCACGTGAAAGTGCGCAACCAGCCGGCTGCGTGGGTTTGGGGCTTGCTCCGTTCTGCCACCGAGAGCCAGTCCCCCTGCAGAGACGAATCCGAGGCTGGACCGGCAGCTGGGACATGTGGAGGCTCTGATAACATCGTGCTCCTTAGACACACTGTAGTGACGCAGTGTTGCGTAAGCTGTCGGTGACAAAAGCACAGGACAGCCCTTAAGGTCACAGATCTGCTGCATGTGGGTGTGACTGTGTCTCCTACTATTTTACAGTGCTTCTTTGACCCCAGGTTGGATCCCTTCTTAATTTCATTCTCTACTCGTGGCTCCTGCCTTCCATAGTGTCGGCAGTGGCTTAAATGCACACCGATGTGCAACGCTAACATCCTCGCTGCAGGCCTCTGACAAGGCTTCGACAGAGTGGAAAGAGTCCTGGCCCTGGGATGAGAAGAAGCACCGAGGTCCCTCACCCGGTGGCCTGGCGCAGGGGCAGGTGCTGAAGGGCCACTCTAGAGCAGCTGTGACCGTAGCGGGTGCCCTTGTGTGCACAGGTGCCCTTGGGGAGGCTGGCAGGGGCAGACGAGAACAAGGAAACGGGGTGGAGCGAAGCCGGAGACCTGTTGTCCTCCCCGCAAGGCTCACGAGAATGGAACACGTCTTCACCGAGTGGCACACACGTGTCAAACGGAGCCCCTAAGGAGAGTAGTGGGAGCCGGCGTCTATAGACGGGAAGGCATGTGCGGGGTTGTGTTGCTGCCGCCTTCAGTGAGCAGGATTCCTGCAGAGGACAATTTGCACCCTAAACTTACAGTGGCAAACAGTAAGTGCTGTGTGCCCTTTTGACCAAAGCAAGCATGAACACAGCCATCAGATCTGTAGTGACTTAGGCCGCACTCCAGAGGGGCAGCAGGCCCCCACATCTGCAGACTCAGCAGCCACAGATCAAAAGGAACCAAGAAGATGGCGCTGAATGGGCAGAGACTTTGTGCTTGTAATTACCCTCTAAACCACACAACGTCACAACTATTTCTACGGCACTTGTAATTATGTCAGATACTAGAAGGCATCCCAGGGTGGCCGCATAGGCAAGGGGGATACGTGTAGCTTACCTGCAAATACTATGCCCTTTTGTATAAGAGCCTTGATAATCCTCGGGTTTTGGTAAGTTTGGGGGGCTGAAAGCAAGCTCCCAGACATACTAGAGGATGACCACAGTATTTCCAGTGGATAGAAAAGTCGGAGTTGCACAGACCCCAAATGCCAAGGTGGCATCCCTCTGTTTGCGCAGCGCCTTATTTCATGGGCCCCATAGGTGTATAAAAAGGTGATCTGTCTGTTCTGGCCACATCCAAAAGATTTCAGTCCTTAACGCTTCACGGCAGTGCCTGCCCTGGCCAGCTGACCAGGAGGCGCAATTAAACGCAACAACTGTGAAGACTTGTCATGGAACAGAAGATGGTCCAGCGGTTGGTAAATGTTATTGTTTCCTTGAGCGGGGAAGGTAATTTCCCAGATGGCCTTGCAGCCTGGTCTCCCGTCTGGCGCTTGCCAGGGCCCTGCTTGGGCCACAGCACAGCCTGGCAGCACGGCAGCCCAGGTTGGGGCATGTCTGCACTTGTCTCTTTAGAAATTTCTGAAAGCAAACACCAAAACCACTCTCTAACCTATTGAAATTCTACAAAGCCATAAAGGGACTAACAGGCATCAAACAGGCATCAAAAACTTCTATTTATTTTTGCTTTCATTTTCAAAATAAATTTTTTTTTAAATTTCAGCGCCTAAAAAAGAAGGAAATGCAGGTGTTGCGTTGTTCACTCATACACAAAAATCTAAACACAAGCTCTATCCTACTGCAAGTCTCATTTCCAAGTTCTTTTTTCCCTTCAATTTGTGGCACAGGTTTTATCAAGCCATACACATATCCTGAGATCGAGGACAAACAGCAGGGTCACATGGCTCGGTCCTGCGTGCCGAAGCAAAAGAAGAAAGGGTTCAGTGGGAAGCAAGTGCCCACACTTCTGGTGGGGTGGGGCTGCACACCTGGACAGCTTTTTGGCTCATTAGTGATAATTTAAAAGTAAGCCAAGCTGTTATTCCCCAGCCTGCAAGGCCTGGAGAAAGACCAGGTGTGGTGTGGACATTCCTATGGCGTGGGGAGGTGTTGCCAGGAGATGCTCAATACATCCCAAAAGCACGGGCTGGCATTTGCTACGACACCACAGATGCTGCCGGCAGTGCTGTGAAAATGCACTCACACCAACCAAGAGTCCCCAAGGACCTAGCCAGTGCCGGCACCAGTGTCTCAGCAGTATCCTGAAGCACAGACCCCATTGTCTAGAATTCTGTTTCTGTGCCTCGCGCTTGCTTGTCTGGGTCCGCAGCGCCCTGAATCCGTGGCTCCATGCAGAATCCCTGCCACGTAGACATGGAGCCAAGCCACGGGGTACCAGGGGACAAAGGCTGAAGACAGCTGGTGCATGAGGAACGTGTTTCAGGAGCGAGCCCCGAGAGGTGGGCAGACCCACGGATGCGCTTTCAGGACATGCTGGGCCCGTCAGCAGAACCAGTGGGGAGGCATCAACAGGAAAATTTTCAACATTAGGAACAGTTTTCTTTCAGTGTGCATGTATTGCTGTACCGAGGAGGTTAAAATCTTTGGCTGAAATGCAAGGAAAATATATATACGTAAACCAGTCAAACAGATGCCGGAACTAAGCTAGAAATATGTGGATAAAAAAACTGAAACCAAGTGAAGGATATTTAAATGTTTATTTTCATGTTAAAAATGATGAATTACCCTGTGGTGAGAATATACTTTTATGCTGGAAAATGAAGTCACTTTATTTCTGAAAGATTTCCAGGGGGGAAAGGAAAAATCCGAAAGTAATGAAGGGTAAGATCAAAGTGTTCTGACAAATTCCACCAACAATCCCAACACGAGCCGTGGACTGTCCAGAGCGGAACTCCTAGTTTCACGGTGTCAGGTTCAATGGTTTTTCCCACTATCAGTTTAGATATTTTTGAGCTGGTTGTCTGTACATTTAAAAGCTACAGTTTTGCATGCTTTTGTGTTAAAGGGTTTTTATTCCAATACAACTCTCAGAGTTTCATGTACTGCCTATATTACATACAAAAATAGCTGCTCCCATATTTCAGCGTAACTTTTCCACCACCCATTCTGTCCCTTTACAAAACAGGTGATCAGCGTTACATTACACGTGTACCATGTTTATTGGAGGAAGGGTTACTGAGTTTACAGAGATGTTTTCGATGGTGTCATTTACAGAGAACAGAACAGAGAACTGAGACCATGTTTCAGGGGATTAGAGCAGAATCCCCACTGGTGCCAATGACATGTACAATCCAGAGGAAACCTTCCGCGGTTGCTGCGGCCAGACTAGAAGTAGCTCTTCTCTGAGGAACACAATGTTTACTGTGTTTTCAACAACCCAACTTTGGAGAGACCCCTTTCTTTAAAAAGGAAACAAGAAGGCTGATCAAAATGAACAAAGATGTGTGTATCTTAAAACTTAAAATTAGCAAGGTACAAATTAGTCTACAGATATGGCCGTGGACAAAACTCAACCCCTGTATTCACTCTCTTCATATTTATGAATAGAAATTCCCTGCTTAGGCATGAAGGATCATTACTGTGTGGAATCTGGTACCCTGGCCAGCATGCATGTGGCAACTCTTAGGTGGCTGGTGATGCTCTCCGTCGGCACCCAGAGTATTCTGCAGTGTGACAGATGTTGTTCTTGCAAAGAAAACTGCTATAGTCTTTTCTTCATACTGTCAAACAAAACATACACCTGTGTGGTTAAGCAATTCTAGGGTGTGGCAGCTGCTGCTTGGTCCCTGTGCTCTGGCCCCGAAAACAACACAGTGGCCACGTGCCTCCAACTGTTCCAGGTCACATGACCAGCATCTCCTGTCTCTGCCTTCCCACATGCCCACAGGGTTCCTGCCTGGTGCCTCTGGAACAGTTTCCTCTCTCCTTCCTCTGAGCATGCAAATCTTGTGGGGAAGGAAAGAACTCAACAGCCTGTTTGGTTCTGGTTATTTATGAGACCATGATTTGGATATTTCTGCTGTAAGAATATAGAGAAGCAAAAAAAAAAAAAAGAAAAAGAAAAGAACCTACTGAATCCAGGCAAATCACATGCTCTCTGGGAAACTGGATTTCCAGGCTTACTGTCTTATATTCTTCCATTTTTGGTTTAGATATTTTTGAGTATAGTGCTTAATAACTGTACCTGACTAGCTAAAATACACGGTGATATAAGCCATGGTTTATGATCTCAAGCGATACCTACAGAACAAAATGCATCTCGGAGACTCTCTTACGCTGGCTGAATAATGTCCATGCCAAGCTGAGAACAATAACAGCCACTCTTAATTCCCACTAAATCCTTAGTACTCACACACACACATACACACACACACATACACACGACTATATGCATGGCGTGTGTGCCTACATATGATGGTTGTATGATGAGAAGACTTTCCATTTGACTTTTGTCTTGAGCTGACTTGAATTCTAACACCAACACAGGTACAGAGGCTGGTTCCTGGGCTGAGTCCGCGGAGGCCGTGAGGACATTTTCAGGACCACGGCCAGTTCCCAGCACCGAGGGCACGCGCCTCCTCTCCTTGACACTCCCCCCTCTTCAGTCTCTCCCCTCAGAGCACATTCTCCAGTGTGTGTGCTGCTGAATATTACCCCACACACACGTGGTGATTTCCTCCTAAGCCACACCCTGTGACCTGGAATGTAGTCAGCTGTGAGTGTGAGGCCCCACACCAGTGAAGCTCCTCACACTGGGGACCGAGCCCCATGATCTCCTTAGCTTGATGGCCAAAGGGAGACCGATGTGAAAGCCTCATTGGAGGAGCTGGACTCATCTGGAGAGCAGTACAACAGTTAGTGCATGAACTTGTCTTCAGCCAGCCTCGAGCCAGCTCCCCGGCAATCTCTTCAAAAGCTGCTGGCTAATTGGGGGGGGGGGCTTTCCTAGGAGGTGCCAGATCTCTGGTTGCAAAGGTCTGGGCTGCTAATGCCTGGATGCCCTGGCTCCACTCTCCAGTCAAGCTGAAGTTCCCAGGAAACCCGCCAGCTTTGGTCCCTAAGTGTCACTTAAAGCAACTGCAGAACCAACAGAACACCAGCTTCCGGCCTCAGAGGGATCAGGCCCAGGTCCCCTGCAATGCCACCCTCTCTGCAAACACACTGCAGTGCATGACACAGGATGGGCTTTTTGTCGACCACTTCATAGCTGAAAGGTTGACTGTCATGTTCCTACCCATGGGAATCTGAAATAAGAGAACAAGACCAGCTCTCCTCTGAATAGCTTGGTCACCCACCTTTTGGAGCCAGGGCCCCAACACAGGTGACCTCACGCATGTCCTTCTTATGCTGGGCCTTTAGAATTCCAATTTTCACTGGTGCAAATGGCTTGGTTAACTCCTGCTGGGCCACGGCAGCTCGATCCTTTCCACCCACATCACCTTAAGTAAAACTCGCATTTTGCTTCTTTTAAAATCTTGCTCTGTCTGAGACCATTCACAGTGTTTTTCCATAACTTTTTTACTTTAGGTTGATGCAGGAATCATTTTTACTCTCTGATCACTTTGATTTTTCCACAGCTGTGGCTTGTGCACTAGGCCAGCTTCTTAGGCTGTGGGGTGGTCATTTTTATGAATCCAGGGAGAACCTACTGCTTGTCCCCTCCAATGCATACTTGCAAACATTGAATTCTGCCAGCGTCATTACTGAAATTTGTTTTTATTGGTCATCGTATGGATGAACTCCTATATATTGCTAACTTTAAACACCATTAAAACTTTTTTGTGTGTGTTCAGGCAAAATGAGAAGTTCAGTCTGAGGCTAGTTCCTAGACAACTTCCCTTCCGTGTCCGATCAATTCCACTTGGAGATGTCAGCTTGGATAACATATTGTATGGGCCAAAGAGAGCATGTCTACAAACACAGCTATGTTGGGGGTCCCCTACCCACAGAAAGACACCCCAGGAGCCCCCCAGAATTTGCAACAAGCAGATGACAAGAACAAATGTTTGTGATTCACAACTTTTCTCCAAATGTTTTAAGCTTCACACGTAAGACTAAAGAAACGGCCCTCCCTCGCTGGGTAGTAACATTTGAAGTAAAGCCCCACCCCAGTCTTATTCGGAAAAGCTGCATGGCAAAAAGAAGGAAGAGCAGAGTGAGAATGAACTTCTTAGACAGGGCCTTTCAGGGCACAGGAAGCTGGACAAGCTGAGGTCCTGCAGGGGACCAGGAAGTGACAGGACAAGGCGAGTCCCAGGGCATGAAACACAAATGTCAATCAAATAGACATCAGAGAAAACACTGCGGTGTCTGTGTTTCACAAAAGAAATCTAGAGGACAAAGGAACATGTGTGGGTGCAAATGTATATAAAAAATAATAAGCAGCACTCCCAACAAGCAAGGAAGCCACATTCAGTCATCTCTCACACGTGTCTAAACTCAGGCCAAGGGCTCTAAGTGTCCACTGTGCTTTAAAAGGTCTAAGAATAGAAAAGTCACCACCCAAAGCCTTCTGAGTTACACACCACACGGCCATTTCCCAGGACATGACTAGCAATGTCTGTGGGGTCGGCTTTATTGTACTTGCACCAAGCTCGGACCAGGCAAGAGATACACTATCGTCTTAGAATTTCTCCAGGCCCTGCGGGTGGCTGCTGGAGAGGCATTTCCTGGTTAACCCCGGCAGCCAAGCTCCCAGGCCCCTGAAGCCTGCTTAGGCAGAGGCCCGCCGGACGTCCACTAAGGAAACTGGGCTAGGTCATCTCTATTGCTGATCAGATTCACTGCTCCACCATCCTGAAAACAGAAGGCATAAAGGTGAATACAAACATAAAAAAGGAGCTCACATCTGGTCCTGCAGTCTTTCCATGTAGTCCCTAAAGTCCTGCGAGTCCCCCAGCCCCATGTCCTGGCAGACCCACTTGATGTTGTCATCGCTGTCAAGCAGGATGGAGTTGGTGTACGGGCCGCCGTCCTCGGGGAGGATGGTGGTGTAGGAAGTGAACTTGACTCGCTTCCGCTTTGGGCCCGAAGAACTTATAGGCTCGCTTGGCATCTCCTTCTCGTAGACATAGTCAGAAGGTCTGAGCAGCTGGCTGTGGAAGGGCTTCTGGGAACCTCCGTTCAGCAGGAAGTTCCTCTCCTCGAACTGCAGCCCCCTGTCTATCACGGTGGTGCACTCCTCAGAGGGCAGCGTCATGTCCACCGGGTTCTCCAAGAGCTCCACCTCGTTGCCCAGCCAGACCCAGTCGTGGGAGTGCGGGATGTTGCCCTGCTCGCTCACCGCGAACCTTTTGTGTCTGTACTTCCAAGCGAATGCCACGCAGTTGATGAGGAAGACCAGGATGGCCAGGCAGAAGACGCAGAGCAGGGCGTACATGCCGATCTCCAGGTCCGTGAGGCCCCTAGAGGTCATCGCAAGGTCACTAGGGTTGTTGGCTTCCGGCGACTTCCCTTGCGTGGGGAAGCTCGTGAAGGCGTCCGCACCGCCACTTTTGAGCACCTTCTCATTCTTTCCCCCCATGGGAGGCTGCAGGGCTGTGCTTTTGTTGGTCCTTTCCTCCTGCCCGGCGGAGGCGCCATGTTGGAACCGCTCCTGCACGGCTCGCTCCTGGTTTCCTTCCCGCTCTATGGAATTGCTGAAGTGCTTTTTGTATTCCCGGTTTATGCCCTCGATATCGTTGCTGCCTCCTTGGTGCCCAGCAATGCCCGGCTCAAACTTGACCTTGATGTTTCCCTTACCCACGGCAAGAACGCTCTTCCGCTTGGTCTTCTGACAGGGCTCACTGATGGTCATCTCCAGCTTAATCAGGGGCCCTTGTCCTTCCCCCTCTGCAGCCACCACCGGCCACTGGGACTGCAGGTCCAGTGGGACGGACACCACCATCTCATCCAGCGATGACACAGTTATGGAAAAATCCTTGGGGTCATAAATGTCCAACGGTGTCACCGAGCCGTCACTGAACAAAAGCCAAGAACTAGCTATTGCTTCCTAAGGAAAACAAACCAAAGCGTAACGTTACAATCCAGTTCCTTCAAATTTACCAACAGAAATACGAGTTCCTATGTCAGTTATATAAACATACAGAGGAAAACAAACTATGCCTTCTAGCCTCCAGCGGCTCCTGTTATCCCTTGAGCTGGCATCAATAAAGGGCTGCAGCCTAACTGGTGAGAGGAACGCACAGCAAGCTGTAATGAGTGCGTCAAAGTGCAAGTTACTTTATCACATTCCGCACTGCAGAGCTTGACTTGGGCCCTTCGAAAAGCACTTGGAAAGATCAGGAAGCTGAGCTGAGTCAAGCCCAGGTGCAGCGAGTCAGGCCACTGCTCGGGACAATATCACTTTGCATGTTCTTTACGAGGAAGCAAAACACTAGCATGGGAAGATTCTTGGCCAGGGACGCACTGCGAGACTGACTGGCCAGAACGGCTCAGGGCCCCCGTGTCTTTAGACATGATTTGTAGTATTTTCAAGATGGAGGAGAGTTGTAAGGTTGACAATAGTTACACTAGACAACCGTAATTTGGGGCCTCTTAGCCATGCCTGTTCAAGGAGCTGAAATGGAATCTCTAGGCATCAAAAATCTCCTGTTTCCTTGGCAAGGGCGGACACACGGTCTTTTGCTCACAGCCCGGCAGCAGACTGTGCCTAGCGCACCATGGCCCTCTGGAAAGCAAATGGCAAAGGGGATGTCCCCGAGGCTCTGCATGATTCTCAGAGGCAGGGAGGCAGCACTGGGAGGCAGAAGAACTCAGAGCCAGCAGTTCTCGAGAGCGCATTCCTGGCCTGCTCGCCAGGCGCCATCACCGAGAAAGGCGGTCACTTCACGGACCAGGGTACAGGGCCTTGGGGGTTCTCACCTGCCGCGGGGCTTGAAGGACATCCTCGGCAGCCACCGTGGAGACGATGGCCCTCTTGTCTGCTCTGTGAGACTGCAGAGAGAGAGACAGGCCAGCCACCAACTGCACGCCCAGCTCAGTGATGGTGACCCGGTCATCCAGGACAATCACTGTCTTCTCAGCCAGGATGGAGTCCGAGAGCGGCGAGAGGACCTAGGGAGAAGATGCCAAAGCTCAGCCTCCACCCAGCACTCCTGAGCCCCTGAGCCGCCAGGCCTCTGAAGGCACAGACTCTAGGATGGGCACCAGAAAGACGCCCTGCCCTCATCCCTGCATTGACAACATGAGAAGAAAGCAGCGTCACACACACTATGTCCTCGGGCCCAGCTGGCTCTCAAACAGAGTGACCACTTGGACTCACACAGCTGTGCTCAAAGCAATCAAAACTGCTCAGAGAGGCAGAGAGCTCTGCCCTGGCCAAGGATGCAGGAGGTGTCAGAGAGGGGCAGAGTGTCCAAGGGACCCCACCCCCTTGCTGATGGTGGGGTGGGGGCTCTCCCAGCAGAGTGACTAGGGCGACAGCAAGGAGGAGGAGGATGTCAGTGCTGCACACACTGGAGAGCCAAGCGAGGCCAAGAGCCTGCGCCAGTTTGGAAGCCTACTACTTCTCCTAACTCCCAGACGGGGGGCTTTCTAGGCAACACCTGCGGGACCAGAGCATAGAACCCTGCCGAGCCCCAGCCCCCTCCCAGCCTCCCGACTTACATAACAAGGCTCCTAAGTCACTGCTGCCGTAAGCTGCTATGATACTGTGTTACACAGAGATAGGAACAGACGCAGAACATAGCGCCTCTAACCCAACTTGGCCAACACCTGAAATAGGGACCAGTAAGCAGCCACACTATAAGCTCATACCAAGAAAACACTTGGGGCTGGCCAAATAGCTCAGTGGATTAAAGCACCTGCAAGCAGGCGCAGGGGCCTGCGTGCCAGCCCTGCCCCCGGGGCGCACTGAGATGGCAACTGAGACTGGGCGTGGGGGCGCGGGCCTGTGATCCCAGCTCTCGGGAGGCTGTAAACAGGAAGATCACTACGAGTCCGATCTAGCAGTGAGACCCTGAACACCCTGGAGACCCTTCCCTAAAATACAAAAAAAAGAAAGAAAGAAAGAAAGAAAGAAAGAAAGAAAGAAAGAAAGAAGAAAAAAAGAAAGAAAACAAAATATTGTATCATGTTCCCGCATACGATCAGCTGAAAATTGTTTTACTCTTACTAAGGTAGGGAGCTTATAACTATGGGTCCTTTATTTACAGCAAATATATGCCTTTGAAAACTCTCTCTGTCTACTGCTGGAATACAGCTAATGAGTCAACTTCAAGTGCTACCAACATAGAAAGTAGCTAAAGGGTGATACTACACAGCTCTGAGGAAAACCAGCCTTCAGAGGCGTGAAGCTCTCCTGTCAGTCATACGCTACACCAACGTGAAGGAGCAGGGGCTCAGTGGGGTGGGGGGCAAGTCCCAGCCAGCCTGGGGAACCTAGTGAGACCCTGTCTCAGAAGCAAATTTCAGAAAGGGCTGAGGTTGCTGCTCAGGGGAGAGCGCCAGCCTGGCATGTTATCATCCCCGGCGAGCCAAACAGAGCGCGTTCTAAGAGGTACAATATTAAATGGAAGGCTTCCTTGTGTTTTCTTTAGCTTTGCCTGGTAAAAAGAGGTTCGGTAATTCCTTCAACGCTAAAATGCCAAAAATGATCTTTTCACTGACTACTCGACTGCTTCTTGTGATTCCCTAACACATACACACCCTCCATCCAGGTGCGCTCACACACTCCCACGGGTGGGCATGCACGCTCTTGCCTGTGGACACATCCCTGTGTGACCCCAGATACCTGGCTACCCATCAGTACCGACAAGCGGGGCCGAGCGGGCCAGCCGTACCTGGACAGTGGTTATTCCTGGCTCCCGGCCGGCCAGCGTCCTGCCACCCTGTAACTCGGCGATCTTCGGTTCCTCCACTTTCATGAACTCAGTGACCAGGTCAGTGATGTCAAACTGCCAGTCGGGGCCCAGCATGTAGGTCAGCTGGCCCACATCCGGGGCCTCGGCCACGAACTGGGTGAGGACGCGCACCAGCGCATGCTGGTACTGCAGGGAGCAGCCCCGGCCCTTCTTCTCCTCGTCCTCCTCATCTTCGCTCTCCCGGGTGGGTCTGGTGTACAAAGACCAAAGCAGAGTGAGTTTCCTGTGGCCAAGGGCAGCCTGGGCCCTGCTGTTGAGCTTCTCCGTGAGGAAATACAAGGAAAGGAAATGGTTTTCTCTGCCCACAACTCCTCCACTCAGCAGACACTGGTGGTCACCGGGGTCTCCACGGTGGCCTTGCGCCTGAGACACACACAGCCAGTGCAGCCTGACCTCCCCAGAGCAGGGGGAGATTCGGACCCTGGGCAAAGGCAG